GAGGGCATAACAGCCGAAACATTGTGGTAACAACAAAGATGAAGACAATAGTCCGAATGTAAATCTTGATTTTATTTCTAAAGTAATTTCCCTCTTCCCTAAAAAAAACAAAAAAAACAAAAAAAAAAAAAAAAAAAAAAAAAAACATTATTCCTCCTCAAATATTTTTTAATAATTCTAATATGAAGATTAAAATTCTTTAAATCTTAAACTATATTTACAGATCTAAACATTTGTCAGAGATGAAATTTAAATTTTTATTATTGCACTATTCCAAAATTTTAAAAAAATCAGCAGATAGCTATTAATGTCAACAACTGAGCACAAATAGTTATTAATTTAAAAAATTAGTAATTAATGTATATTATCCATAACTACATGTACAAGAATGTTGTTTTTAACAAAAGTTAAAAAATAACCATAAAATACGTAAAAAATGCATATATTGTCTAAAATTCCTTTTTCCAAAACATATAACAATTTGTGCTGTTATAATGCTTATTACCTAAACAATAATAATACTGAATAATTTTTTAAACATTAAAGTATATTTAATCACATCTCCCCAATAGCTGTCACGATCTGTTAAATAGCTGCTAAACACTTTCTTTCTTGTCAGCTGCTATAGAGAGTCGTTTTTTGAGTTCTGCATTTCTTTTTGGAGTAAATTGAATTCTGTGGATTTCCTGTCACGTTACAATTCTGTATACGTAAAAAATGCATATATAGCTATTTTTGGTACGTTATAATGCTTATTACCTAAACAATAATACTGAATAAATTTTTCTTAAACATTAAAGTATATTTAATCACATCTCCCTAATAGCTGTTGCGATCCATTAATATTTAAAATTATCTTTAAACAATAACTTTTTTAAGTAGTTTTATCTGCAGATAGAAAACTTCATACTTCATGTAATCACAGGACAAGTGAATTCATCATGCTTTCCCCAATGAAGCTTGAGGTCAATATTGGAATTTGTAAATGCAAGAAATTTCATTACTGATTTTTTAAACTAGTATATTTATAATAAGCTAGCCTGCGTTTATAATTCAAACCAACTATGAAAAGAGTGAAAACTGAGCCAAATTGATGTCGGATTGATTCATCTGCTGAAAGCATTGCACAGCTTTTTATTATTTATTTGGATATATTGTACATCTCCATTTACTGGTAACAACTGTTGAATATTTTGCCTGTTTGAAGCAGAGAGCTAAACTAAGGTTTTTCCATGATGCGTGGACGTCAGTCTAATGAAATATGACCCATAGAGACAAGACGATGTGATCTTTGCCAAAGAATTCAGTATTTAAAATCTATAAGCTAATAGTACTTTGTCTATGAGTGGTCAGAAACCTATATAAAGTTTAGAAACCTGGTTCCTGGGAATCTCTCTTAAGCAGCACTTCAGATACTTGCAGTAAAAGTTGATGGATCTGGGTAATTTCTACAAGTCAGATCACAGGAAAAGTGTGAAATCTCTATTAAAAAGACCACATGCTGTATTTGTCTGTTTGGTGGGGAGGTAATATATATAGGAGCTCTGAGCAGAAAGTATCCAAACATTTATTATTCACCTAAATGAAACCAAAACTGAGTGTATGCCAATTAACATTCGCAACAATCATGAGATCAAAACACTCTCAGATAACATCCTCAAATGTGTCGAAGACTACAAGTATCTAGGATCACACATCAAGAACTCTGAGAAAGACTTCAACATTAGAAAAGGCATAGCATGGACTGCTTGTAACAAAATGGATAAGATCTGGAAATCCAATCTTGCTTGTCAATTCAAAATCCAACTTTTCCGTGTACTTATTGAGCCAATCTTACTCTATGGCTCTGAAACTTGGACTCTCTCAGCAAAACAACAGCGTCGTTTAGATGGATGTTATACACGTCTTTTAAGAAGAGTGCTTAATCTCTCATGGCAAAACCATCCAACTCTAGAAATGATATATGGAGACTTGCCGAGAGTATCAACCTTAGTTTGCAAGAGACGTGTCCAGTTAAGCTGGGCATTGTGCACGTGCAGATGAACTTGTGTCATCATTTGTACTCTGGAGGCACCCATCATCTGACAATCGATCATGCAAGTTAACCTTTCCAGATAGGATAAAACGAGACACATTGATCCCTAAGGAAGATATTTTAGGTGCTATGACAGATAGGGAATACTGGAGAGGTGTAGTGAGTTCAATCTTGGCTGAGGCCGCAAGATGATGAGATGATGATCATGATTATTGACAAAAAAATCTACAAAAAGGTAGTGATGCCTTAGTCCCAGTCCAAAGTACTTCTTTTGGAGTTTAACCCAGCATCCATTGCACTTTTCAAAACAGTCTGCAAAATTCACTTTTGGGGGGGATCACCATCAGCTGTCATATTCTCCTTAATCTCGTCCAGGGTCTGAAATTATTTTCTTTTCATGGCAATAGCCAGAAGTTACAAGCAAGAAAATCTAGATTAGGTGATGTGATACTGCACCAAAACCTCAGTACAAAACTTTGTTCATCTAGTCATTCAGACATTGTGAATACAGCAGCCACACAGTACACGAGTTCACTTAACGGCATTGCTCTACCATATGAGTAACCCTAGGGGAGAGGGATCCACACATGCATGTTCTTGTTTGGCTGTCAATTTATATCAAGGCCACAAGATGGCTGAATACTTTCCAGACGGATATACTGGGTCTGAAACTAAACGTTGCTGTTTTGTCATAAAATTTATACAGGAGAGAGAGGAAGAAAAAGAATATTATCATGAAACATGCAGGTTAAGGCAGTGACATGCTGGCGAGCAAAGAAAAATAATTTTTAAGGTAGGTCAGTTATTAAATTGATGCAAAAGTACTCAGCACAATCTTTTGTATAATATTAGGAAAATCTTAGAAGTGACTTTCAAGTTTACCCAGCTATATTGCTTGTACAACCTGTTGACTATAAAGCCTTTGAAAAAAAAAAAAAAAAAAAAAAAAGTTAGGAAAATGGGTTCCACAAAAACTTACAGAAACAGTCACTGTTTTATGATTTGCTTTTCCCTTCTTGCTTAAAAAGCTTACTGTTAAATCATGTTCAAAACATTGCTTAGCCTTAGTGAATGAATGAGAATTAGTGTTGAGCCTGATCAGTACTTAGATGCAAGACTGGTTTAAACCATAGGTACTGTAAACAACCTCCTAAAATTGACTTCAAATAACCAACAAAAGGTTGATAAGCCATAAAAAAAAAAAAAAAAAAAAATATTGCTTAAAAATGCATTTAAAAAAAGTAGCAATAAAATTCTATTATGCATATCCAAAACAAAGAAACTGATGGCTAGATCACCTTGAACAGCCTTCAACAACTCAGCTGAAACAAAGTCTAATTGGTGAAGGGATTTCTGTGCTTAATCGGGTTCAAACACAGTTCTTCTTTTTCTGCTGGGACCTGGACAAACTGTTACTGCACCAATGCTAGTGAGCAATTGGCTCGTTTGAATAATTCATTGTCAGAGGCATGCAAGGAAGTCAGTCACCCTGTGCTACATTGGAAGTTTTCCCCACATAAAATCCTCCTTTATAGTTGTCACCTTCAAATTATTTGTTTCAAGCTATAAGGTATGCCTTATCCTGGTAAATGGTTCCAACAATTTGAAGACATGAAACCAGAATCATGGCAGTTTAAGGTCATAGAAAGTCTTGGAAAATACTTTGATGATCTGTTTATTAGGTTAGGAATTTTTTATGAGTAAAAGATTTTGTTTAAAAAGAAAAAAATAATGCTGGAAACTTTTGCACCAATCAAATATATTGCAACAATATTAGACAAGTAAGTGATAATATGAAAGTATTCATGGATAAAATTTGGAAAACAATATCTTTTAAAGTGTTTATTTTTTTTTTTTAAATCCAGTATTTCTAAAATAAGTTATTTTCATGTTAAATTTGTTTTTACTGGAGAAGAAAGAATGAAGAAAGAAGAAGAAAGAAAGAAAGAAGAAGAAAGAAGAAAGAAGAAGAAAGAAGAAGAAAGAAGAAAGAAAGAAAGAAGAAGAAAGAAGAAAGAAAGAAAGAAGAAGAAAGAAAGAAAGAAAGAAGAAGAAAGAAAGAAAGAAAGAAGAAGAAAGAAAGAAGAAGAAAGAAAGAAAGAAGAAGAAAGAAAGAAAGAAGAAGAAAGAAAGAAAGAAAGAAGAAAGAAGGAAAAGAAAGAAGAAGAAAGAAGGAAAAGAAAGAAGAAGAAAGAAGGAAAAGAAAGAAGAAGAAAGAAGGAGAAGAAAGAAGAAGAAAGAAGGAGAAGAAAGATGAAGAAAGAAGGAGAAGAAAGATGAAGAAAGACGGAGAAGAAAGATGAAGAAAGAAAGAAGGAGAAAGAAAGAAGAAGAAGAAAGGAGAGCAAAAAATGGTTAAAAAAATAAAATAAAAAAAAAAAAGAAGAAAAAAGAAAAAGTTTCAAGTAAAATTATAAAAGAATTCCCTTTTTTGGTATGAATACCAGAATTGGTCAATGTTTACAGCCAATCTGCTTTGAACTTTGCACACAAAGCAAAAGTGATTCAAATATCATGCGAAAAATATTGAACATAATAAACACTTCTATCTGAGTAACAGGATAAGTGTGTGAGTGAGAGAGAAATTTAATATATAAAAAGTTATTTTGACCATGACTTGATGATATTTAAGCAAATAAACTTTTTCAGTTGAGTTGGTCATTCCTCACCTGAAAATCTTAGGTAGTCGATACATTATAGCAGGTAGAACAAAAATCTTTTTAATACAGATTAAATCAGCTTTTGTGTTTGTAAATAAACAAAAAAAAAAAAAAAAAAAAAAAGGTACCGTTTTCCAAATTTAGTTTAGTTCAAAGGTTCGTTACTTTTTATTTTACGTTCTTTTCAACACTTAACAACATTGATTGGGTTAGGAAAATAGGGAAAACAACAGAAAATATAAAACATGCCAATTATTGTCCACAATGCAGAGAATGGAAAGGCAAACAGATAGCGACAACTATAGTCAGGCATCAGTCAATGTCTTACTTGCTGACTTAGTCATCCGGTTAGGACCTAGGTCAGGATGTCTGGGGGAGCTGCCTGCTTGGGAGAGGACACTGCTGAGAGAGATATCAGATCCAGATGATACTGTACTTCTGTTCATCATTTCAGGACTTTCAGTTATTGTGTGGCGTATCACACCACCACCACTGCTACCCACACCACTATCTTCCGCCTCCTCTTCATCCTCGCCGTGGGATCGCAGGGTTTTATCAGAGTGGTTCTTTAAGGCTTGCTGCACTGCATCATGATCTGATGACCAAGGCAGGTGGATTGGGGAAAGGCAATAAAAATAAATAAATTTACAGAAATTTAAATGGCAGGAAGAAAACAAATATATATATATATATATATATATATGTGTGTGTGTGTGTGTGTGTGTGTGTATGAAAACATATAGAAAATAGGAAAGAACTCGTTAGGTAAATAATCCAAAGTTCTTTAGTATTTTTGCTATTATATTTAAAAAACAGTGCTCGATACAAAAGTAGAGCATTTAATTTTAATAATGAATATGCTTATAAAAACGTGTAAATTTCAAGAATTAGTTATTCCTAAAAATTTTGCTTGAAGATGGAACAGAGCTTGGTACTTCAATTTAATTCAAATAATTATATTGAAGTTTTCAGCTCTTGTTTTGAAACATGAGAACTGTTATGTAGCGATGGAATCATATTTTTAAATAAATAATTATATATATATATATATATATATATATATATATATATATATATATATATTATTCAGGCTGTCCAATTCAATAATATTATTTCATGCAAGTTTATTACAAGCATATTAAAATATTTTGAAATATCTAAATGCCATTTTTAAAACTTGGAAGAAATATTTTTCTGCAGATTTTCTTCATTAAAAGGCAAGAAAAGATTCTAAAAATATACAAATTATAATTAAGTAAAGTTTTTCTTGGTTGACGTAAACAAAAATGGATTTAAAAAAAAAAAAAATTGTGACAGTTTTTAATAAGGCATTCACAGGAGTCAATAAGAACTTTTCTTTTTTTGCTTCCCAATAAAAAAGGGGTTCTCAACCATTGGAAGATTCCTTTTTCTAGGCAAGAATTGCAAGGTTTCAGGTGGGGGACGGAAAAATCTTATTTTTTTCTAATTTTTTATATTTACAGAATTTTGTTTATTGAATTACATTACCCTGGTATTCTTCTGAACTTTTGGTTTATTGAAGTAGGATTCAGTTTATTTAATAATTAGTTATGAATTAAAACAAATTACTGTACATGTATCAAGTTTAAAAATTCATCAGCATTTTCTATTGTTATTAAATTTGTAAAACTCCTCTATAAAAATAATCCATGTAAATGTCTACATACCAATATGAAAAAGAATGGAAAACATTTTCAATAATATATGTATATTATTTGGAATGCACCTCTTGAGTTGGACAATCTTGGAAAGTGGGGAATGACATTCTGACTTATGGTGAAGAGGGGACATTGGGGAAAAAAGGCTGAGAACCACTGCTATAAAAAAAGTTTTTTTTTGATGAAGGGAAATAATGTTTTATAACCAGTTCTGTCAATCACTGGAAGTTTCTGAAAATGCTGGAAACAAAATTTGTATTAATTACTGGAACAATCCCAAGGGAGGAAAAAAAAACAAACAAAAAAAAACAATCAAAAATTAACACAAGAACAAAGATCATCATAAAATGACTTAAGGCTTTTATAAAGTAAAATTATACAGTGAAACCCGGATATAAGAGAAACCCGGATATAAGAGAGATTTTCTCTGGTCCCAAATTAGAGCCTGTGTTAATGTATATAAAATAGACCAAACCCGGATATAAGAGAGATTTTCTCTGGTCCCAAATTAGAGCCTGTGTTAATGTATATAAAATAGACCAAACCCGGATATAAGAGAGATTTTCTCTGGTCCCAAATTAGAGCCTGTGTTAATGTATATAAAAATAGACCAAACCCGGATATAAGAGATTTTCTCTGGTCCCAAATTAGAGCCTGTGTTAATGTATATAAAATAGACCAAACCCGGATATAAGAGATTTTCTCTGTCCCAAATTAGAGCCTGTGTTAATGTATATAAAATAGACCAAACCCGGATATAAGAGAGATTTTCTCTGGTCCCAAATTAGAGCCTGTGTTAATGTATATAAAATAGACCAAACCCGGATATAAGAGAATTTTCTCTGGTCCCAAATTAGAGCCTGTGTTAATGTATATAAAATAGACCAAACCCGGATATAAGAGAGATTTTCTGGTCCCAAATTAGAGCCTGTGTTAATGTATATAAAAATAGACCAAACCCGGATATAAGGTTTTCCTGGTCCCAAATTAGAGCCTGTGTTAATGTATATAAAATAGACCAAACCCGGATATAAGAGAGATTTTCTCTGGTCCCAAATTAGAGCCTGTGTTAATGTATATAAAATAGACCAAACCCGGATATAAGAGAGATTTTCTCTGGTCCCAAATTAGAGCCTGTGTTAATGTATATAAAATAGACCAAACCCGGATATAAGAGAAACCCGGATATAAGAGAAACCCGGATATAAGAGACTTCTTCTCCGGTCCCGGCAACTCTCTTATATCCGGGTTACACTGTATAAAATAAATTTTATAAATTTATATAAAATAAAGCTCCATAAAATTCTAAATCCTGGTTCACTTCACTTTAGCCATAACCTTTTGGTATCCATTATTCTACTATTTGAACACATTTAAAAACATTTTTGATACCAGACCAACACTAATTTGTATTTTAAGACAATGTACAGGCAATGTAATGGACATTGTTTACTAAAATCCTATTTATTAGATGCCATCACAACATTCAGTTCAAATATATAAATATAGTTCTTAATGTAGCAATACGAATGATGATGTTTTTTTGTTGTGATTTATTATTGATAATATTTGTGTAAATTAAATAAAATTATTTTAATTTTGTTATTAAATAAAAACATTGTTATTTTGGTCACTTAAAATGCACTAATCTTTAATTAACCAGGTATTGAACTCACACTCTTTGGGTCCTGTCACTAGATCTAACTAACGCCTTTATCCACTTTGCCATGTGTCTGTGAGGATACATGGCACAGTGGTTAAGGTGGTGGAGAACTTGGAGAGGGTAATTAACAGGAGATAACTGACATCCATTAAACATGGCATGTGGAACTAGAACAGTCTACCCCAGTGAGTGAAATAAAGGGTTTAGTTCGACATTCCAACCACCTGAAGAAGGCTGGAGCATACAACAACCGAAACGTTGTAATAAATATGGCAACAAAGATGAGGACAATAGTCCGAATAATGTAAATAGTGTACATAATACCTCATCTCAGAAATATAGACAGATTTCTGAACAGGTTTGGCACTATGCATGACATTCTTATGAAAGCCTCAATCTGACAAGGTTGATGTTTTGGTTTTGTAGCAATTGGTGGTGTTGGGCAAAACTAACTCTAGCGCAGTCTATTCTATGATCAACTTCCTCATCTATACTAAATTTGTTATAACTGATCCATATACCAAGGTATTTGAAGTTTTAAGGCATTTACCAATTCCAGGGAATATGGATTAGAACAAGAACTTTTTATCAATTCCTTATAATGGCCTCTTCTTAATGTAAAATTACTTCTGAAGTATAAAAATTATAATTATTTAGAAATGTTAATTACCAATAAGCTTAATTATGATGAAAAAGGCAATAGCAGTGTTAGTGCAGAGGAACCAAGGGAAATAATTATGTAGCGGATAATAGACCTAGAATTATCTCCCTTACATAGATATAATTTCGTGGAGATAATTCATATTTAATATAAAATTATACTGCAATCAGTGGCCTAACATTTTAATTTAATTTTAAAATTAAATAAAAATATTAAATTGAAAAACTGCTTAAAATTATAGAAGTGGTTGGAATAAAATAGATAGACATTTTTATCATGGTTCATGAAGTATATTTTATATATATATATATATATATATATATATATATATATATATATATAGAGAGAGAGAGAGAGAGAGAAAGAGAGAGAGAGAGGGAGAGAGAGGAGGCACGGTGGAGTAATGGATAGCAGCTTGTATTGAGGAATCGGAGAGCCGAGTTCGAATTCCAGTCGAATCCATTACATTCACTTACGTGCTAATACCCTTGGGAAAGGTATGAATCCTCTTCTTTCTCCAGCTATGGGTAAATAGCAGGACAGACTGGGTTCTATAGCCTTGGATGGCAACTGGTCTAGAAGAAGGCCAACTCTGAATTCAAACCCTGCGGAGGGTTGTTTGGGGGCCTTGTGGCACATAGTGCACCAGGTCTCTGTATTTGGCCCTTCAAAAAGTGTGGATGGTCCTGCACGAAACCTTCACCACTATAATCAAATCCCATGTGCTGTTGTTGGGCTGTCGATTTCCTAGGAACTGATCTGCTTCACCCTCATACGTCGAATTCAACAGGAGAGCAAAGTGTGTTTTTATATATATATATATATATATATATATATATATAAAGTGCCATTACGTGATAAACACTTGGACAATCATGTCACTTTCAATTCATGACTGACTAGGTAGATTTTCACGTAGTAAGTTCAAATTCCAAGTTATTCTGTTAAGTTTTGTACTCTGGAGGCAGGCAACCTACAGCATCCAGCCGTAAATGACATCACAAAGTCTGAAGCAATAACTATTACAATGCAAAGAAGATATTTAGCGGTTTCAATTTTAATATATACTAAAGTATATATATACTTTATATTACTATATAAAATATATTGTAGAACAGGAATACTGACCTTGACTTGTATAAAAAATATGTATGTTGTTGGTACACTGAATGATTTTAAAACCCTAAGTCAGCACATAGTCAGCAAAAGGTTGGCAACCCATATACTATACCATTCTTAAAGGCATGAATCCATCTCCCCTACCATCTATAAATTAAATAAAAGAGTAGACTGATTTCTCTAGCCTTGAGTAGCAATCTGTTTCAGATAAATTTGTTTTGTTTGTTTAATGGTATATCAATTCCTTATGGGTTATTTAAGACCAAAACTTAATTTTTGTTAGATTTAGTAGTAATAAAAATATATATTATTCTGCTTTCACAGTTGAGTCCATGGTAGATAATACTCAGCTTTTGTGCATATACATGTTTTTGTGGACATAATTACTATAGTCAGTTATATGTGTGTTTTATATCGTAGTTTTGTTGAAGTTATATTTTGGAATACAGTTTGATTTCTTTAAGAAATTATAG